TCTGATACTTCAATGTATCCTTCAGGTTCTGGAATCTAAAATTTAGCCAAGTTATTGACATTCCCCATTAACTCATTACTCACAAGGGTCTCGGATTCAGTAGTACAGAATTCATTATAATCAGAATCGCTGGCATTATGGTCAGTAGGACATTCCAAGGAAACCTAAACCAGATAATAAAAGATACCAGAAACAATGTAAAACATGAGGGGCTCCCCCAAAGGTGCGTTCACGTATGCATACAGAAATTCTCATAAGTTAGGACTTCACCCAACAAAATAACAAATGTGCATAAAACTAACATTAGCATTACTAGACTTAGTCCATAACTTACATTAATGCCAGACTCAAAAAAATAAAGACTACCCTGGCCAGCAACTTTAATGACATCGTCACCTGACAAATGCTGCTCCTCATTAATTGACAACTTGTTGTCAACAGACTTCAAATATGTTAAATGTGTACTTTTAATCGAAAATAATTCCATTAATACTTCTTTCACCTGGTCAGCGGGCATGTCTCGTGTGACACTAATTTTACCAAAACGTCCAGAATCATGTAGCTTTGTTCTTGCACTTCTTCGAGGAATACAAGAGTTCTCACGAAATTCTTCCAAAAAACAGACAGATATCGTTTTCCGTTTGGTAGTTTTCTTCTTTTTTGAAACAACACATTCCTCTCTTGGATCAAAGCTCCTTTTTGACCCAATACCTAAAGTTGACCGTCCATGAAATAGCTTATTAAGAAGACTCTTGTTCGTTGATGAGGGAGGAGTGCTGATTCTTTTGCACACAGATGTAGCTTTTACTGCTATATCCTATACATGTACATAGACAAAATATACATAATATAGGTAAAGCATGTTACATGCAAGACATGTATAGAGTTTAAAAGTTACTACACACATAGGCATATTTGGACCCGGGCAAGCACAGGCTTTGCCCGGGTAGAAATTTGCAGCCATAATTATATCAAGAGTACATAATACCTTACCTTTAGGTATTATTTACTCTTGGTAATATTCATTAGTTATTGCATTATACACAGTATTGTAACAGTGGGAGGACTGTTAACCACATGCACAATAGCTAGAACTGTTAACCACAATAATTCTATACATGTTATAAGTGTTTATTAGTATGCACCAGGTCTTAAATTTATAATACATTTGCCCAAATTGCCCATTAGCTAATACAATCAATAGTAAATACATAAATAATTAATTAACTAGGCCTATAGTAGCTAGATACATGCCTATGACTACACATAAATTACACAGGTGTAAACATTGGCAAAACTACTGACCTTAGACGAACCTGCCTCTGAGCTTAACTCCGAGCAAATGATCTTGAGTGTGGCATGGTCTGGTATTGTGTCTCCCGAATCAACAAATTCTCCTGCCCAATCTCCTTCTTTCTCAAAAACCTGCACAAAAAACTCTTCATCGTTCAGGACGTCTTTGAAACTCTCCGGCTTTAATAGCATCTTTAGCAGCATTTATGTTCGAACCAGAGGTACTGCTAGCAAAGGTAACGCGCCTTCTGTGAACTCCAAAGGCACAAAGAACTTCAAAAGTCGCCGAGCTCGCCGTAGCCATACTGAGAACTCGGTTCTTCGTGGAGGTTGTCCCTAAAAACCGGACCGGACCGGACCAACGGACCCGAAAAGACTAATTTACGGACCAAGCGACGGACCCGATACAAACTAATTTATGGACCCGACCAAGGGACCCGAAAAGACTAAAGTACGGACCCCGCGTTAATGACCACGGACCTGACCGACCTGGCAGCATAGATATCTATGCTAGCATCAGTATCTATGATGCTAGCAAACTCTATCATGGCCTAGACAACATACAGAGCTTCCGTGACAAAAATGATTTTTATCTATGGTGATAGTGATGCTATCAGTTGAGTCATCATGTAATGCAGTCAATGAGGCCGTAGTTCATTGTCTCGGTAGTGATCACTGAAGTCTGTAATTTCAACTTGAGTTAGTAGTTTGTTATATTCATGCATCAGCAATTATTAATTTATAATTATTATTATCAACTGAATCTACTGCAAAATAAATCAACATGAATAGAAATTAATAACAATACTGGAACTGATCCCCAAGGTAGTACTTGATATGGATTATAGTAGATGCAGCAGACAAATTCGAATCAATGCAAGGGAGACAATTCTATGATAATAAAGAGTAGATCAGAGTGCAACAACTTGAAATAATAATTATGATTCAAGTAGTGATGTTATGTGAAGTGGTTCAATAATTATGAGAATATTATACTCAATTTGTCATAAGCAGAAAAGTAGAGCTTTTGATCTTGAAGCTTGGAGCCGGTGATCTTAAAGCTTGGAGCTGGTGATCCCATGGATCTCGAGCTAATTTCTAATAATAATTATGATCACACCAACACTAATAACTGTGGTCAGTGGTTTTAACTGAAATAGAGAGAAGGAAAAAAACTTTGACAGGGTGCTTTGGAAGGCTGCAGTAAAAGTTTTTAATAATCTTTATAGCAATAATATTAATGAGAATCAGCTAGTGAATAATATCAAGCCTTGGTGTAAGCTTAACTACTAAAATGGATACT